AAGAATACCCATACGTCTTTTCTGCTTCGAGAAAATCGCGGGAGAACCTACCATTTGAAGGCCTTGACGGAACAGGATAAAAACCGTTGGATTGCGGTTCTTCTTTCTGCGAAGTCGAAGTTGGGACATCAAGTTAATGGTGGGTTGTGTTAGTACACGTTTATAGTTTTGTATAGGTAACGTTTTGATCCTGTTCTTTATGGCCTGACTAACGTTCCAACCTTTACGATAGCTGTATTTTAACTATCGTGTGTTACTGCAGCCATTCAGTTGCATGTCAAACATTACTTAATTGTGCTACTTTGCACATAGCTTAAGCGTTTTCGTACTTACGCATTTCACTATTGATGCTCTTTACTTTTTCACTCAGTACATTCTACTATCTCTTTGTTACTGAAATTGTTCATTTTTATTTACTTATGTACCAACTACCGTAGGCCTTTATTTTTAAATTAGTCTTCCTCTGAACTACCTACTTCCCTACAGCTCAAAATGTAATGTATATCATGTATATAATGCCTGTTCTTGAGACAGTTAATAATGGGTGCAAAAATCCTTAAAAATCACTCAACGTCTCACCAACTTATCTCAGTCACGCAAAGTTGGTCGCAATATTCCCTTTAGGTCTTGAATCTGACAGTTGTTCAGATGACTTGAACTCATACACGGCTCCGCGACGCTCCATAGGTAGTGGGAAAATGACACAGAACAGCAATAGTTCGAGTTGGCGCTCTTTTCGTCCCTTTCGGCGCCGAACCCGTCAGCTTACCTCCATTGCCTCCACAGCTAATGATGCCACGGCTGCCACTACAAATACCCCAAAAAGGACAAGCATGGGTTCAATGACCGCCCAGTCAACTTCTCCATTTATGGACAAAGAAGCTTCCGTCTCCGCTGGTCCTGAACTTTCTGCTGTGAATGGATCACGTGCAACGGAAAACACAGATAAAGGTGCAGGCATATTTCCAGAGGAATCAGCCCCTACTTCTCATTCTGTAACCTACTCTCCTTATCGGCGTCGTAGTACTCTCAACTACGGACTAACTGGCGAGTTGCGAGTTACTCGAGAGTTTCAGCGGCACCTCAGCGCTCTCGACGCTGCCTTCGACAATATGGTTATCCAGGCAAACCACGCGCTCGGATTGATAGGCGATATTTTGGCACATTCTGATGGTGAAACTGGCAAGCAAGCTGTCACTGTCTCCCATGATTCACTGTCCGGCCTTCAGTCCTCTATTGACGCACTTGTGGAGGTGAGTTTCAAGTTGAAATAATGCATTGTAATACTTTTTGGTTGCATCAATTGTTGCGTCATGTTGGTGGAGGCGCTACATTACTGAATATTACCCGTTAAGTCTTTTTTAACGTTTCGTACACCATAGCCCAGAAAAGCATAAAGTAGAGGTAAACGTTTTGCTTTTTTGATTTACTTGAAATAATGCGTTCTTGGCATTCGTTTAATCGTGTTAAAATAGGTTTTGGTTGGAATCATTGTGTGTTTTGCATTCATATTATTTGATTTGCAACCAGAGGTTGATTTGGTGACATGGCTTTACGTATTTCCGTTTTTGCAATGTTTTGCATATTTGTTTTTGATTGATTGGGAATGTTTGAAGCACTGAACTTATTAGTAGATTTCACGCTAATTTTCAATTCTGCTTCCAGCGTTTTAGTACGATTTGGCCTAGTTTGTAAGTATCTATTGGGGATTATTGTGGTCGTCGTGTTAATGTATTGGGCTTGCGTTTGGGAATTTTCCACTTAAAACCACCTCACCTTAGCAACATCACGATCGGATTCCACGCAAAGCTGAAAAGTTGAAATGTGAAGTTGTCCTATTTAGTCTTAGCTATCCTCGATGTTACATCTAGGTGTTTTTTTTTTTGCAAAATTAAGCATATATGAATGCAGGAAGCTACTTATGATGCTTTATTTTAAACAGGTAAGTTAACTAAGGTCGGGGTCAGTCGTGTTCAACTCACTTGCAATATAAGTGTAGCCATAGAAAACGAATTTCTCTGTGCCTGTAAGCTGCTAAAATGTCTAGGTCAAGTCAGTGGCAAAACCCAGTCTTCTACGCTCCTGTCTAGCTTTTGGCGGGGCCTTGCGACCCTCATGTGGCGTTTGTCATTTTATGTGGTGGTGGTGGTGGTGGAGCTTGCAACTTTTCTCGCGAAGCAAACTCCTGACTAGGGTGTGATGATGCCCTAATGGGGACAAATTGCCTGTTAATATTCAGTAGTATGCTTTATACAGTGGCTTTCTTAGAATCCGCTGGATAAAATTTGCACTCCTTTTTCCCGTAAAGCGACTTGAGTTTCAGCTTTTAGACATCAGTTTTTTTGCAGTAAGTTGATTTATCCAATTAATTGAATTTATGCGAATTTCTCCACGTCGTCTCGACGGGAGCTGCAGACCCAATCGCAGTGGTCCTCGCCCGCTTGGTCACAGCTCTATCTACGTCTAAATACGAGCAATGCGCCGCTGGCTTTGCGAGGTTTCACTGCTCCCCAATTTGGCAGCTAAATTTGTTCGGTGCACGTTTACCACGTGATGACGAAACAGACACTTTTGCAACGATTCTGTTAACATTTGCGTTTCCTCGCATAACGTGGTTATCGAGTGGGAACCTAGTAATTTACTTGGCTGCGTTTTGTTTTTTTTCCACTTATTTCTGATTGATATGCATTGTCTTACAATCTTCTCGTGTCTGGCGCTAAAGCAGATGTTGACAAAAACAAGAGAAGTTTGTTTGCTAATTTTTACCTTTTGGTTTTCCTGTTACAGCTTCTCATAGCACCCATTGTATGCTCACAGGTCATATTTTTAGTGAAAATTTGGAACCAATGAACTCTTGTATTGATTGTAACGTTGGAAGTATTGCACGGCTGCTCTTTTATCTCATTTGTTGTTACAGCTTACTTCCTATTGACGTCAAGTCTTTCAATTGTTATTGTACCGTAGTCTAATCTTAGTTATACCATTTTTTTTAAATTTCTTAGCCACGTTAATGTTGATGATTAGATGTCCTGCATGTCTCTTGGCCTGTGCGTCATGGTGGTACAGAAGCCTTCCCAGTAAATCGTTTTACATAGTACATTTTTATCAACAGCTAGTGAAAATCAGTCCTGCGCAGTGATTGTTTTCAATTTAAAAGGGACAGGTTGAGGTCCCTTTCCGGCAGAGACAGCTTTGTTTTGTTGAACGGGTATTCTTATGTACTATGCGCTTAGCATACTAGTACATGCACTGGAATTGTGGTGTTCTCGCTATGTCCGTTCATTACTTTCGGACATTGCATTCTAAATTATGTTTATTCGAAGGCACATCCACCTACTTTAAGAGTGCCACACCAGTCCACGTTCTGAGGTTAAACCGGAGATTGATTAAATACTTGTGTAGGCGTGTCAAAAGACCATGGCAGCCTGGACTACCTCCATGGAGTGGTTTCATCGGCGACTTGCCTCAGAGTACGACAAAGGTTCACGCTTGGAGCGCACAATCGAACAACTGGCTAAGCAGCACAGGGCACTCGAGATGCAGCTCTACTCCAGCTACGCGTCTCTCGGTAGCAACCGACTGAATTCCCCTCTCCCCACTGATCACTCATTTTATCGTGATGCTGCCCGACGTAAGTGCAAGGGTTTTCTTGATACCGTAAATATCCTCACTTGCGCATGTGTATGGCGTGAAAAGCGACTTTGGAAAACCCGATTTATCTGCTTAGTCTATCATTTTTTCCCACAAAGCAATCTACTAGAAGATTAATTGACATCGACTCAAGTCTAACTTAGACCACAATCGTTGATTTTCTGCTTAATGTGCCAAAATCACCTGGATTGTTTCGCATTTTGTAGAACAGCTGCTGCATTATGATGGTCCCAAAATACATGGTAAGAAACCGCACAAACATAAGGGTGCTTTTTCGCGAAGGGTGAAAATATTTCGAACAATACTTACCATACTAACATCTATTGAGACAACTAAAGCATGGTTGGTTTTCCACCAATGTCCGTTTTTATGACACACGAGCTGAACTTTTTTTGTTAATTCAGTATTGAAGTCCCGTGGAAACTGCAATGTCTTATTCCGTTTCAATACTGTGGTAATATTTAATGAGCAATGTGTTTCCATCGCCTGGTAAAAGGTCAGTTGAAATCGTTTAGTGCTCTTGATACACGATTTTCGTTTTTGAGTATTTCCAGCTTTAAGTGCACTTGGAACACTCTGTTTGCCACCGTGTGTGGTCCTTGCGTTTGTCTTATGAGTAGTCCATTAAAAGTACACGTTAATATGCCCTGTACACACCATCTATAATGCGAGTGCAATTCTACACATGAAATCCATCTAGTCATGGTGGATCGGCGTTCATTGCTGTAATTCCCACGCCGATGCACCTTGTCTTTCTTTGCGCTCCTTGCGTAGTGGCCTTCGTGGCTATTAAAGGTGATGCGTATTTTGGGACTGCCGTAGGTGATGTCTCAATAGTTGCCGCTGTCGTCGCCTTGTTCAAACTTTCCTCCGTCATTTGTTCTCCTGTTGTCACGATATGCGTGGTGCGTGGGTAATTTTACTTATGGCCATTTGGTAAATTGGCGCAATGAACCACTCACTTTTGTACCCTGTCGTGCTATAAAGGATTGCTGTTGTTTCTAAGCGAAAAACAGTTTACATAGCTCCAGGGACACAAAACTCCCATTCAATGATTACTTGGCATATTCATGCGAGTGGTTGAAAAAAAACACGCCATTGACGTCACGAGGTGACCTCGAGATTGTTCGACATTGTGACGGCACTTGTTGCTACATGGCGTTGGGCTTGCTGGTTAAGTGTGCAGGAAGCCGTGGCGTGACAATGTAGTAGTCAGGATGTGCACAGGTGTGTTGAGTGGTCTCCTGGAAAGTGAGTATTTCCTGAATCAAACTCTCCAAGTTCGATTCGAATGGTTGTTCAAAGGGCAAGAGAGCGCCACCCAATGGGTCAGCGGTTTCGACAGTGCCGCAGTACTCGACTCAGTCACCGACTACGTCTCTCAACGGTTTTATAACTTGAGCTCATTTCCTTAAATCAAAATTATTGAGGAGTTGTGATGGGGGTTAATGTCGCTTTTGTTAATACGTGGGGTGCAAGCGCGAATACTCCTGCTTTCTTCCACGCCGTGTCCTTATCTTGACTTCTAAAAGGATAGAAAAGGGGTTTGGCTTTGTCTCTTTCCTTCGCCTCAAATGCGGAAGCAGCGGGTGTTCTGGTTTGGGTGAGTTAAAGGTGCTGTTCAGTGTGAATGGTCAGCCCTTTGTGCTAAGAGCCGAAACGTAATCCTGTCCCGGAGTGTAATGCAATTTCCCCTTCAGAGGGTCTAGTGTGTAAGTGTAATGAGAGTGTTAGAGGTGAAGGTACGACAAAGTACTGATAGTGAAAAAAAGGGGGTAGAGGAGAATAGCACTCTTCTTCGTTTGCAGGTATGCATTCGTGTAGTAGCATGGACGAGGTGTTCTACGACGCCGAGAGCTGCATCTTCCAATCTCCGGGTCGATCGGATGGCTCTGGCGACTGCGGCGACAGCGATACAATGTTGCAGCCGTCATGTGCTTCGCTCGGAAGCCTCAAGAATGTAGACGAATCTTCAGGCAGCGAGGAGGACGATGTGGTCGCGGCAACTTCTAAAGAGGGTTTATTCACCATGCCTAGTGGTCGCCCTTCCTTCACTGCCGGACCTCCTACTCCTACTGTGAGCTTTTTATCCTTTCTTACTTCCATACTGAGTACCAATTTACTCGAGTTCTTTTTTACGCTCAATCTTTCTGTCTTCTCTTTCGAAAACGGTTAAACGGTACGGTAGAACAAAATGTAGGCCGCAGTCGTGATTAATGTTGAAAGTTGGCTGCAACGTCCCAATATCCACAGCGCTTGAGAGTGATTCGGAATAATGTAGGCATATTTGGCTCACAAATCTTAATGACCATTTGCTTCTTAGAGCTCTCAAATGTGCATGCCTTTGCGTAGACCGCGCAGGCTGCTCACACATGTCATCTTGTTCTGTGTCCCGGTCCCCATGTCACGGAACTCCAGCGCATCACCCAGGTAAATCCTTTTCCGAAAGTACGGCAATTGGTATACAACTTTTAGTGAACATGAATACTTCCAGTGAATCGTTCAAAGACGGGTATGACTTTCAACTTGTGGATCGCCGGTTGGTAGTCAAACTGATGACGACATAGTTCATGCCATGTTTTTCTTTTAATCTGTTCAAATAGGCTTACTAAGAGGTGCTGCAAACAAATTAAGTTTCGCTTTTTTCGTGATCAAATTTTCTTAATGCTACTCTGCTTTACCCAGCCTCAATTCATTGGCATTCGTGCTTTTACTAATATAGTTTGTTTCACTGACGGTGTAAAAACAGTTTAAACTTGCCCTTTGTACAATTTACTAATGTGAAACAAATGGCAATTTCTAGGAAAACAGCGTGTTGAATTGTGCATTGGAGTCACCAGACCCTTTCCACACACACAGGGAATTTTTGAACTTCTAGTTCAATATCGATTAGTCCGAGAGACTTGGTCATGGTTATGCTATAAATTTCTTTTTCCCCCAGTCCTCTTATTTAGCGTAAGCCTCAACTATCACGTTTTGCGCGCTTTTTTTCATTTGCGTACAGATGAACATCGGTTTTTCCCACTGTTGGTTCTCTTTGTACCTAATTCGAGGTATCTAGGACAGAAATGGAAATACAGAGGCACATGAAAGTGGTAGACCAAATAGAGAGGTAATCTGGAACACGCAAGATGTTATCCGTGCGAGTTGCAATCCACGCTGCAAATTTTCTCGTGTTATATTTGGGTCATTACCGTCAAGTTTTATCTGCAGACAAACTGTGGTGTTTGCCAAGGTTCAGGCGTGGGAGCGTTAGAACACGTTCACCAGTCGTACCCCGTTACTTGCGTGCAGACGTTTTAGCAATTTGGGCGTTAGCTGACTTAAAAACACCCCATGCGGTTTTTTGTGAACTTAACAATGTAAATAATTAATACACATAATATTAAGGTGGTCGTATGCGAGGTACTTTTCTTAAAACGCCTTTACAAACAAACTTCTCTCGAATCCATGCGTCCAGAATTTTTTTCGACCAATGCATGACGCTGCAATAGTGCATTAAACCGATGACATGTATGTTGTGCTGGTTTTGCTCTACGCTGAAAACCCTGTGATGCTGTCTGTGGCGTAAATTCGGTTGCGTTTGACGGCGTGCTCGGCGCACCAATCACTGAGGTAAGCCTAACACCATCGGAATCACGGCCGGCTACATTGATTTTCAGTTAGCTCACGTCGCTAAAACACCAATTTGAAATCCTGACCTTTTTTATTTATTATTCGTCAGTGTGTGCATTAAAGCGATATGCGGTAGCAAATTCCTTGTTTAAGAATTCAGCTGACGTAGGCGGATGCAATTTGCAATTAACCCATACCGAAAAGTAGCGTTGGGAAAAAGGTAATAGAATATACCACCTTTATGGAGCTTAGAATTAACGCGTTTGTAAAAACACTTAATGAAGGGATGCTGTGCGCTTTTCAAAATTGTCGCTGTTCCTTTCGGTGGTATATCATTTGGCTACCCACAAGATACGCAACCACACGTGCATTTGGATTGGGCACTGCATTTCACTCACTGTTTCAGTTGCATTTCTCCCAGACGTATTTTGGATGTCGTGGATGGGCTAAATAGTTCCGATGCAATTCCTTCTCTTAGTCATGACATTTAGCCATGGGATACATTTTCCAAAAGCGGACGAAGTATCTGTGTGCACCGAAAATCTACACACACTTGATCTTTCCATGCGACACACACTGGATTTTACCAGTTTGTGTTTTTACACGCTATTCTTTCCCAAGTTCTTTTTGTTCTGTATGAAGAACTTCTAGACATGAATAAGGAAGGCCAGAGCTGATTTCTTAACATAGGCAAAACAGACTACAAAGCTAAAGCACTCTTGGCAAAATCCCAAAGGGTGCGACTTATCCTTCTTTGGCAGAATCCATGATTTGGTCAGCCACCGCAAAACGTAACCTTAATGCTCCTATGCTATGTCCGATCTACGACGCATAAACCCAGTGTGGTTGACCTTGTGTGTGTGTGTGTGTGTACTTTACTGATCAGCACAACCCCTTCGATCCACGCTGCCGTCAGGTTTGTAAAAGCCGGCCGCGCGCCATCACGCCCCGTTTCTGCGGGCACGCGCGCTCACCCTCGTTTGTCGGTGAGACACAACCCGGCACTTAATTCATCATGGCGTTAAAGCAATACCATTTTCAGATGCCGATTTGTGTAATATTTGTTTCATGCAATGTGAACGCCACCCAGGTAGTCCGTATTAAAGTTCTGTAATCTTGTTTTCCTTTCCCCATCCGTATTAAAATGTTTGACAGCAGACGAAGGCCACCTGTCGTTATCAGATCCTGATAAAATAAAGCATGATAAGCCTAACTGGCTGCTTCCTAAAACATGCGGTAAATTTGCTGGTACATTTCTCAGCTAAACATCCCATTTAGGTAAGCTTAAATTTCCAAAAAAGTACTGCTTTCGGTAGTGTTGTAGTTTTACTCTCGTTAGTACAACACTGGCTCAATCACAAAACATCGGTTATTACGTAGCGCCGATGTTTTCTATCGGCATATGCAAAATGACCTGACACCGAAGACCACTATGGCAGACCCCTGTTCGCAGCCTCGTATCTACTCTCGAGGTCGCTTGGCTTTGAAAGCAGTGATGTGTACCGAGTTGCTTGCGTGACAACGGCTGAAAATGATAAATTTTGTAGGAAAATTATTCACTTCCATTTGTAATCAAATAGTTACCATGTTAGGATGCTATTCAACATCGCTACATAACACCAGAGCTTTAATGGATTGACGTAATCGGGTCCAACAAATGTCCACTTTGTCGGCAAATTTTGATGTTGCTTGCTTTTCCCCTCTTGGTATGGTAGTTTGAGGACCTGGCCTAGTCATTGCGTTTTGAAGAGAGTGAATGGAGTACTAGAGGAAGTAGCTGGTAATGGTGACCAAGTATTTTAGTTTATTTGGGACTTTTCAAGTTGTCTGCAAAGCATATTTCACCAGTCTTGAACAGGGGCCACGTGGTTCGGAGACCCGAAGGTGCCGACTTGCCATTGAGCCAGGATCAAGGCACCTCCAGCGAACGGCTTGATAGTGTCAGCTTGACCGGAGATGTGGCATGGGTCCCGAGACCAAATTACTTTCAATCAGGAGGCTTGTTTGAGGGCGTTTTAGGGCAAAAGACTTAACTTTTCGGTGCAGGTTGAAATATGTTGTGGTAGATGTTACTGGAATGCGAAAATCTCATCACGGTAATGGTTTTGAGGTCACAATTTTGTGGATTGTAATCTAATTGTTCTTCTTAACTAATTGGCCCATTTTTGGTAACCTTTAATTGTGTGCTGCAACTACACGTATTCCTCCACGTTAGCATTATTAAAGATATGCGGATTAGTTTCCCGTGGTGCATTCGCTTAACGTGCGACTTTGCTGCAGCTTTGTCGGTTTCGCACTAACAAGGTGCTTTCGCCACGTGCTTTCCAGTCAGTAGAGGACTATAGTTTTTCACTTAAGACAGCAATAATTTGCAATTTTTTAAACCGAACTGGAAACGGGTCCTGTTGTGAATTATTTTAAACACAGCAGGTAGACTTAAATCAAAGCATAAATTAGTCCTTGTTGGCTTGGTCATTTCAGTAATTTGGACCTGTAACTTATGCAAGTTTCGTCCGTTTTATTTTTAATTAACCATGATTCCGCTAGACCTCATGCGAAGAAGACGAGAACCTTGATTAATGTACTCCCACTTGGTGTAGTGTAGGGCCACGTCTAGGGGACAGGATGCTCGATGCGCTCAACTGTCGCTCGTTGAACTTGCTGCAGCTTACTTGCTTCCGGCTGTTCAAAGTAGCCCTTGGGTAAATCGAAGCAATATGGGAAAATCTGCCACTGCAACTTTCTTATCACGTACGCAGGTCGCTGCTGAAGTCGAGTTTGTACTACTATATGCTGAAGTGGACTGAAATGGGACGCTTAGTTGTTTTTTATATGTACTATGCATGTGTACTTTTTGCCTCACCAAATTTGGGGAGCAATGCACCTAACCGTGAAAGCATTATCAGTAGTCACGTGAGGCAAGTGTTTATAAGTGTCTAGACGGTGCCAGTACCACGCATTTGCGCAGCCAACGCTCATTCCCCAGTTCTTGTTTCGACTTTGTTTTTATTCCATAGTAGATTTGACTGTCGCCTTTTTAACGCATTCATCTCCTAAACACTGGCACTATTTTGTGGGTTAAATGCTTAGCCTACTCAAACCGACCCTGCACCAGAACCATAGATTATTACCAAATAGATACATTCTTATTACACTTTAGCTCGAGAACCTTTTCAAAGCAATCGATTTTCATTTCAAGACCTCAATATAGCTCTAATTACTTAAAGAAGAGATTCTGTGACTTGGAGATCAGGCTTTGGTCTCGATATTTCTCGTACTGCCAGCAAGTTGCGCGTGTTGTACCTCCACAACCACTGACTAGGTATTTTTATACCCTTGATATTCCCTCTGGGAACGTTAAACTTTGTTTAATATTATCGCCGATTTACTTACCAACGGTGAGGTGAGATGAAAATTGTGTCTATAAAAAGTCAGAAAATTCTAACGAATTGCTAATCTTATTTTACTCGCGCAGCTTTTCTTGTAATTGGTTATCGCGCCTCGCGTCATTTTCGTTCAAGTGGAAAACTTAAGAATCTTGTGTAATGTGTATGTGTTCTCGTCACCGGTAGGTCTGAGAGAAATAACAGCACCCATGTAAGGCATTAGAAGCAGCGCTGCACGTTTGCTTACCGTGCACGTCTTCATACAGCCGCCACAGCCCATCCCCCTTCTCATTGGTCAGTTTGCCTCTAGGATGTTTGCGAGCTAGCTGCCACTAGCAACCACCTTTTTTGCGTTTGCTTGCGTATTGGATTTCCGTATTCCTTCTTTCATCTCATCCGTGAGAAGCTGTTTTGCTTACCGCTACCTTCCATTCAACTGTTGGGACGCATTCCATGGTATGTATTTATGTGTTTCACTCTTAAACAACTAAGGTTTCACGTCTTAACGAAATGGTAACGCTTTGCATTACCCCGCCACCTAACCGCTTTCCAAAGCAACCGACTGTCTACTCTGTTTTGTTACCAGATTGTGACACATGTCGTGCACTGTAACATCACCTAACGGTTAATTGTACCCGTCCTCTTATCAACAAAGCCCTCATTAATTGCAACTGTTGGCTCACGTCGAGCAATGGGATGTTTGCTAAATCAGTGACTGTAAATAACAAAGCAGCAAACTACTTCCAGTGTAATCGATTCTGGTCAATCTTCCTTAAGTCAGCGCCCATTATGCCGCCACCTCTGGGTCCAACCTTTTCATTGTAACACGGCCTGGTTCAAACATGGTTCTGTCATCCGCATATTCCACTTGTGAATATACACGGCTTTCCGCTAATCGTAAAAATTTCTGGGTGTGCGTAGTCTACTCTCATTTGATTTGCAAAAGGAAAAGTTTTGAAACTCCATCATTTCTATTTTTTTTTAAAATTTGACTCGCAAAATTTCATTACAAGTCACTTTGGCCCATTCAAGTGAGTAGCACCGGTCGCGCAACTCAGAATCCCCAATTTATAACTGGGAATTCTAAAGAGTTGTGAGGTACACCTGCAGAACATCATGATTTGGCAATATATCTACTACTAACCCTTGTGACTATTTTGACAACGAAGTGCTATTGTGTGACATCAAATGTCGCACTGTAAAAGTTACTCTTGGTCGTAAATACCCTAAGTACTTCACTAAAATGATTAGAATGTCACTTGTTTGCTGTCCCACAACGAATAAACTCTGCTTTACGGGCAGCTAGCGACCATTTACTTGATTGCCTCAGTAAACGCTCCTACTCGTAAGTACACAGTGTGATTTAGCAAGCGCTGTCTCTCAGCCGCGGTCAACTGGAAAGTCTTCTCTCAAAATTACATTAAAATAGTTCCAGCTCCATTACGAAAGCCACCTTCTTTTACATTTATTTGATTTGTAGCTCTGATTTGTTTTGCAAGCTGTTGTGTTGGCCGTAAGTTGCATACACAGGTAACCATCAGTTCACCTTTTTTTCTTGACGTCAACTTAAGCTTTACTTCACACCAGACGTTTCGCCACAGTCAATTTATCGTTTTATTGTGTCCAGTTAAACACTGCTGTCTAGAACTTTGCATAAAACCAGCCCAAATTCATGGGAATGCACTGGCAGTGTTTTGCGTAGCAAGAAGTTAACCATAGCAAAATCCTACTATTATTCGTTGGCACCCATGGAGCCGCAGACCAGAGGAGATGAGGGGGAAATTACTCGACGGGATGAACACAACCCGTTATGCACGTAGCGTCAGTGTGTATGTGGCCTATGAAAGGCAAGGGTGAATGACACTATCAGTCTACCGCAAATGTCACTCTTCAAAAGGCGTTTTCGTGCACAACGTTACAGCATTTGACCGTTTCGCAAGTTTAGTGGTAATGCTCTTTTTTGGAAAAATGCAAAACTTTTATTTGACTTGATTTTGTTGATTACTTAACAACATTTTGCATGTGTGTCTGCAAGTCACAATACAATTGAGGTTAGCTTATCGTGAATGGCGACCACGCTCGGGGCTGTGTAATTCATGGCGGTTCCGGCAAAATTGTGCCCGGTCTGGGACAGTGGAAGTTGCTGCACGTCTCCTGTCGGTTTTCCCTTTTATTATGTTCGTATGCTTGTAGTTACTGCAGGTGTAATCATCTACTCTAATGGATATTCCGGACCCACGTACATAGAGAGTTTGATTCTAGTGAATTTTCCTACCACTTCAAAGTCACATCTAACTTCATTCCATCACAACCGAGTTTTACCAATTCCTTGTCCTTCTGCTTTCTCTTTTATCCGCGCACAGCCTGTACAGAGTACTTAATGGTTTGCAATCATGACTTAATGTAGTGCCAGCTAGTTGTTGAGTCGTTGAAATGTCTACATGAAATTATGTTGCATGTGGACAGCCAGTAAGTTGGGTAAACAGTAACTTGGTGGTTCAGTGCTTTGTACGATACCTGTGTTCAACCGCGAATGGGTAAAATGTGACCAAAATAGTCACTACATTCCCACCATTTGCTCTTTTAGGCTAGCTCTAATGGCATTGTTGAAGCTGTCAACGACCCAGATGAAAAACAACAAGACAATAACGTCGTGAGTGGCAAAGTGACAAGTAAGGAAGTAGCGTCTTCATCCCAAGCTGGTCAGGTTGACAATGCCAGTGTGGCTCCCAGAACGTCTACTCGCCAACGTCGAACCTCAATCCCTCCTCGTCCACGCATCTCTCTGAATCTCTGGGGTGTTCTAAAGAACTGCATCGGTAAAGAGCTTTCTCGGATTCCTCTTCCGGTAAGCCTAGCGACTGTTTCAAAGTTCCGTTCTGAGTCTCATTTACTTTCTCGGATACCTTTTAGATCAGAGATAATGTAGTTGAAAATGAGGCAATTGGGTTGTTTTTCGTTTTTTCTTAGCATTATTCCATGCCTATGGGGAAAAAACTTTGATTCTGCATTTGACGCAATTTTAGCCTGTGAGTACTTGACGTCGTAGCTTTCATTAAACCCGATCAAAGGAGTATGAATGGATCTCAGATGGTTTTTTTTAATCCGCGGCATTTATGGCTGTATTGCAGGTAAATTTTAACGAACCCCTCTCCTTCTTACAACGGGTGACGGAGGATCTGACGTACTCCAAATGCATTGACCAGGCTGCTCAGGTTTCTGAGACTAACGCGGTTGAGCGAATGGCATGGATCGCCGCCTTTTCGGTCTCCTGCTACGCAACCACAGCCTTTAGATTGAGCAAACCGTTTAACCCTCTGCTTGGTGAGACGTACGAGTGCGACCGCACCGATGACTACGGCTGGCGAAGTTTTGCTGAACAGGTGGGTTGGGCATTCTTTCGCAGTCCCCACTACTCTAGTCCAGTTTCGTTGTTGTTTTCTTCGATTTGCTTAATAATATTGGGCCAAGTAGTCTGGCCGATTGAATGGCTTTTTGGAGGAGATTTATTTCCTTACTATCATCAGTCGCAGTTAAGATTGTTTATCACCATCATGTGATTAGGCAAGTTTGTCCTTCTGAACGAGATACACCACAACAACCTCACTAGGCAAGACAGTTTACATTCTAGCTTTTGGATTCACTGGCTCTGGTTTCTCGCTAGAAGGCCGTTTCAGGGAATCTATGTCGCTCTGAAAAATCCTTGAATGTCAGTAGTTTTCTCGATTAATTGTTAAGACATTTGCAACTAGAATGCATAATTCACTTGTTGCTTTAGCCACTAACAAACAAATGCTGTCGTTTGTTTGTGTTGTCACTGTTACCTGCTGTTCTAATGCAGGCTCTGAGTACTCCTTCCTGTTTTTCGCAACAAAAGAAGCAAACCAACACGACCTCACGTGGACGTGAGGTCGTGCAAGCTAAACAATCGACCACCGTAGAAGGCCAAACAAGCATTTGTCACTCTCTGCTTCGACCATAGCGGTGGGGGGAGGGGGGAGGTGGGAGGGGGCTACCTCGAGCGGAACAAGGAAGCCTCGTCCACGCAGGTGCTTGCGCCCAAGTGCCTGACCTCCTCCACTGTCGAATTGGGACTGTTGGCTTATTTGGGTTCCATCACGACGGCGTACTCGGTAAATGCAGCGGTTGAAGAAACGCGTTCAAACATGTAAGGCTGCAGATGCTAGTCTGCAAAGCCTCAACCAAAGAAGCAGTTGATAAATGCGGCCTTTTGTGCTAACCCGTGATTCCTACTGGAAAGATTTAATTTACGTAAACGTTGCCTGCTGGAAACTATTAAAATGCGGTACTTTCATAATTGGTGTGCAGCGTGCGTCTGTGTATGTGTGTTTATGGATGTGGGGCATAAGTTTACGTGAGTTAATATCACAATCCCGATCAAATGCCATTGCTCACGAGTGATAAAAGAAAGGCCGTTGGAAGTCGCCGCATGCCCTTCTAGTGTCTAATGCCTGTGACATTAGTGTTTGCAAAGTAGTTGTAGTGGGTCCGCTTCTGCTTCAGGTCAGTCACCATCCACCGGTCGTCGCCCACTACTGTGAATCCTCGCGTTATGGATGGAAATTCTGGCAGGAGTTCACGGTAAACAGCAAATTTCGTGGCAAATACCTTTCACTTATTCCAAAAGGTAACTCGACGATATAATTTTTGTCCTGAAATGTTGTGTGTGTATCCTTATTCACAGTAACTTTAATTAAAGCGGGTGTCCGTTTGGTTCATATTCACTCTGTGTGACTTTCCAAATGTCACACTAATTAAAAATGAGGAGGTCACGAGGGTGTGTAATCGCTCGTTTTTCAACGACAATTAGAAAAAATCGAATGCACTTTTATTTCACCAGCTCATTCACCCAGTTTCGCGGAATGTAAAATCATAAACTAAATTCAATCTTCATCCAAACTTTTCCTAATTTATTCTGTCTTATAATTGAACACTTCAAGATGTCTCGCAGACAATTATTAGCGAAGTGTTGTCCGTTCAGCGCTTTTCCATGAAGTCGGTAGTTATTTGACGTTTCAAGAACTTTTGCCCGTACCATTTGAGACTTAATAGCCACGGTGCGTGGGCTGTCATTCGCTTCCTTAAATGAAGAAACTCATGTCTGGAGAGCTACCGAGTCTCCCTAACTGACTACGTTCTCCTCACCAGGTTCCACTCACCTAGTCTTCAAGGACGGCCAGCACTACACTTGGTCGAAGGTGACAATCACTGTGCACAATATCATTGTCGGACGTTTGTGGGCTGAAATTCATGGAGAGACCACGATCAAGAACCACACAACCAACCACACCTGCCAAATGCACTACGAGGCGCACTCGTACTTCTCTCGCGAGGCCGATCGTCAGGTGTGTTAATTGATATCCCCTGTCTTTATTTTCCTGACCTGTTAACTGTAGGCTTTTGGTTAAAAAAATGTGATGTCAATTGAGAGGATCCGGATCACCGCATGTTGGCTTAAACCATTTCTGGTACTGATGAATATTTGCCATGGTCTTAACGCTTTCGTGTCCCCTACAAGCCAATATGGGGCTCCAACTAAAGCATACACAGAATTCACTAGATACTGTAAAAAATACGCATATTTGGCTCTCGCGATACGCGATGACAAATCTCTAAAGTGTGAGGCTGCTACTCTTACCTGGTCCGTTATCAAAAATACACGCGCAGAGAACCAAACCGCAACTGCCATTTCTAACTCAGCGCCTACCTTCCAAGTTGGGGACAAAAACATGGAGGTTTTGCTGTCCCTTCCAAGGGTCTAGAAAAGCCAGAATGTCAATGCGAAGTTGAATCAGTGTTAAGTGCTATCGCTACATCGTCTTGCTCTCGTTTGACCTACCCGTGAAGTAATGCAAACCTTTCATGCATGCATGCATTGTGAAAAATGGGTTGCCCCTGTAAAGACAGTGTGCTAGTGTCTTCAGATTTGCTAATCATGTCGATTCACATGGCCAAATTTTGAATTTTTTTCTGCAGACGACAATTTTGATTTCCGTCTACACTTCCGAGACCCGTTTCTCATAGATTACAGAAGCTAGTCGCTTACACTACAATCTCTGCAAATTTGCCAGAAGCGATCCCTAAGGACATGCTTCATCCCATTTTAGCGTCTTACTTGGCGTTGTCTGTTCTTTCAATTTCTGTTTGGCGTTGAGCTGCGCAACACTCATGTTTTCGTCATTTACGACCGCGTCGTTTGTGTGTCTGTGCACGTGGTTGCCCGCCCATCAAACTCAACGGTGTCGTACCTCATCAATAAATAGTCCGCCATCCCGTATTTGGTCGCTCTGTCCGACAATCCGCTGCAGTAATTTCTCCCCACGCTCACATGATTCATGAGTTAGCTGTGATCCGAGAAGGAACAAGGTGCTGGCTTCATCATCGGTGAACGAAACGGTCGGGTTTTCATGTAATTGTAACCTTTGGACTTTTCGATCATCTGCTCTTCATCGTCCTCCAATACCTTTTTATCAGTCATGTTGCACACGTCAGTATTTTCACACATTTGGTTAACAACGGACTGCCTAGTCGTCGAACTGTGCAATGAAGCAGAGAATTTATTAACTCCATCCCATTTTCTTTTCCCAGTATTTGACTATGCTTTCGTAAAGCTACCCGCCTTTTCTGATCTACCGTGATTACTTAAAGGCTTAGCACGGGATGCCAGTTGTATTTTCACTACTTTTTCCAAGTCACACAGTTGCCTTGTAATTTTGTTCTTTACACGTCTGGAAGTAATCGGACGTATCTTTGCTGTTTTAATTAGTTCGAGTGGTACATCTGTTTATTTTGTTGCAAATGAAAAGGTAAAACAAAACACGCGATAATGTTATAGGGTGACGATGTAGCCGAAGTCTGCACATGGCCGGACTTCCACACCCCTTTCCTACGCGATTTCTCCACTAAGTTAGGCAAATCTTTGTATGTTAAGTTAATTTACAAAACTGGATACTCTTTTTCTGCACAATTATAAGCGATTAGAGCAAGGTCTTGTGCGTGATCGCTTCGGCTTTATCTCTCTCTTGCCCCATATATGGAAGTAGCGGGTGATAGGGACTAATGTGGTTCTTGTTGTTACGAATGTCGCTTTTGTTAATGCGTGAGGTGCAAGCGCGAATGCTCCTGCTTTCTTCCACGTCGTGCCCTTCTCTTGGAAAAGGGGTTTGGCTTTGTCTCTTTCCTTCGCCTCAAATGCGGAAGCAGCTAGTGTGCTGGTTCGGGTGAGTTGAAGAGAAAAAGAGTACATGTGGATTGAACTTAAAGGGACGAAGAAAATACGGAATTAGTGTTAAGTGTATGAGGAAATATTGGCAAAACTAACTAACGATCGGTTCGTGCGATCCGGCCATGAAGGAGGTGTAGCGGATACCCCTCCCCCTCCTCCTGCTCTGCGACTGCTGCGTTCGTCGCCAGAATCACCCTATCGACCCGGAGGTCGGGAGATGCAGATCCCGTCGTCGCAGAACACCTCGAATATGCTGGTGCAGTAATGGCTTTTCTTCATTGCTAACCCAATTCGCTATTCTTTTACTTTTGTTAAACACCTCTTGCCGTGGTGGTAAATTGTGCATTTTCAAATGGATCTGTTTGGTGTCCCCCATCTTATTGGCTGCTTAATTATGTTCCTCGTTGTTGAAAGGTATTTTCATTTACAGTCTTTGTAAATTCTGTGAAATGTGTTTTATTGTTTTCATTTAATTTTGGCATTTTCCCCACGCGCCCGTTTTCTTTCGATGTTCGATTTGCTTGTCGTGAAGCCCTTATAGGTAGTATCGGGTCATCGGCCGTCTTAGTTACGCGTTGAAACGATTCAGTAGGCATTGCATTGTTTGGAAATTCTCCTTTACCGGCAGGCGGTGTTATTTAAATTAAAAAAAGTGATACAGCGCAACTCTTGATAAATCACGATAATTAGTCAAGCCTAAGGTGGCGATGCGGCCACAATGATGCTAATCGAAAGGTGTCTGCGCTTTATCACTTGCCGTCCGAAATCCTCATGTCCATTTTCCCCACTTAAAGCCTGGCTAATTGGAGTTGGCGAAATCGCCTATGTTTGATTTAAGTGCTGATTAACGTTTTCGGTCAAGGGCTTCTTTTTTATGCCCTAAAAGCATCGGAAGCTTAGTTGGGTTCATCCAATACCCCAATAACGGGGCTTGTGTGTGTGTGTGTGTTTGCAATCGCTCTCGTCTTGCTCTCGTGGCTCGGTCGTTGATAGTCTGTTACCATCTATCCGCAGGTAACCGGCTGCATATACGATCCATCGGGAAAGTTGGTTTATAAGGTGAGTGGCACGTGGGACTCGCAAGTCGAGGGCTGTGCCGTCTCCCCGGACGGCCAACCGACAGGTTCTCCCACCACGCTCCTCGTTCTCGAACCTCCTCCGGCCAATGCTGAGTCGGCAAGTTATTTATTTAATTCTCCTTCTGTCTTTTTCAAAGGCCACTGCCGTCCATCCTGTGTACTGTGAATGTCCGTTAAAACACATTTTGGCCCGCCATCATCTTACCAACGGAAGTCCACATTGCACTTTCACTTTCGCTAAAAAACTCCACCCGTAGGTGAATGCTGCATTTATGTTGTTATGAGCGAGTGACTTATCGAGTAATTTATGCGCTGTTGGTCCGCCTACCTCTTCGCTACGTTTATTCGTTCCTTCTGGTAATGATACGATCAACACTGAAACACAAGTAGGTAATATTATTTAACGGAAACTAGTTAGCCTGTTCGAGTTGCCAGCTGCGAGCGTATGTTCTCCAAAGCATCTCGATGTGTAACTGAGAAGT